TTTGACCAATCAGCTTTCACCTCCTCGGGCAGCATAACTGTATGCTTCAGGCCTGGTTTGATTGACGAAAGATCATGAAGGCGAACAATGAATCAACTAAAACACAAGGCCTGATAGTGCATGCCGATGCAAAAACTAATATCTCAGGCTTCCTAATCAAGGAGAAAATATACCAATAATAGGCATAATTGCAACAAGCCGCAAGGAGAGATTAAATAAAAGAGATAGTGAAAGTTCATTTGTTGTTGGTCTCCAAGGGTTGGGATGAAACAGGATGAAACATTGTTTAGAGAGAGTCAGATGTGCTTTATTAATATTGGGAATATTTTTTAATATGACGCTGTCAGCGAGAATATGGATAATTGCAAGTTTCTGGAACGTCAAAGCGTGTGAAGTATAGCATCTTTTACGTTTCCCAGCCTAGTTATTGTCTGGACGATGTTGGTTTGTGTGTGGCAGACGGCCGACGATGAAACGGATTCAGGCCAATTTTTGTAACCAGTTTCATCAGTAATTGGGTTCGCATAGTAAAACCACTGGTGATTTTCGAGGAAGAGTGACGTCGTAATATTTATCACCGCGAAATACAAACGCGATTCAAAATGATAATGTCTCGTGTGTTGTAGGGTAATTAGGGCGAAAATACTAGACAAGAGCACTAGACTAAATGCTAGAATAGACGAAAAAGCCTGGACTTAAAAGCAGTGCGAAATTGTGGAACATGTTTCTTGAGCAACACGTTTTAGTTGAAAGTAATGCATATTCAATTTTAATAATAATAATAATCGCATTAAGAGAATGGCTTGAGCATCGAAAACTGTCAAATATTCAGTATCAAATGGATGGGCCGATTAATCACTGTTTTAAATGAAACGTTGCCGATTACTAGGTAACTAAGTATCAACCGTATGTTACCGCACCTGCTGTATAAATTCACATATAATGAATTCCACTGCTATCTAAATGACCAGACGATGTTTCTAAATTCCAAAGGCCAACTGAGCCCAGCATTGCTAACATCTCTGCATTCACATAGTAGACATATATGTGTGCAGATATCTTTATTAATCAGTATACCCAACTAGAGATATTTTAGTCGCTTTTAAAGTCAGTTAGATGGCATAATAGTAATAAAGGAATTTTCCATTGAGAACTATCGAAAATTTTCCAACCAATTTACATAAATAGCATTTTCCTGATGAAACACTGATCACAGTACAGCTCGTCTCCTGGTTGGCATCTACAAAACGCAAGTTAGCAACACGTTGCCCAAAAATGTTTTACAATACCTCGCTAGGACTGAATAAATTCCACTTAGAGGTACATTAGGCACTTTAAACAAATAAAATTATTTAAACTGCGATTGCTCCCGTCTGTATTTCATGACGATGTGACAGTGGATAAACCCGAAGCTGCGAAATTGGGTTTCGTCAAGCCCAATGTGGTGATTCTGCATCGTAGATGAAAAAAATGTTTTCATGAAAAGGAATGCCTAGAGGTACACGACGCAAACGTCAACTGAGCACCTCGACAAATTACTTTTACACTCGGAAAGGAAGCTGAAGATAAAGTTCCCTTTCTAGTTACTTTCAGAACCAAGCATGTAGGACGGAAAGTATGAACAGAGATAGTTGTGTGGAATTAATCCTACCCCGTCGCTCAACAATAATGTGCTGTCTACAGTATGGTACATTTCAAAAACACACACACAATGCACAGATAACGCTAGCCGGCCAAACTGATGTAACTACGAATTTTCTTTCCAAAATCGATTTATTCGAAGTCTTGTCCGCCTCTGATTGAGACAACGTGAGTCAAAAGAAAATTAAGTGCATGGTCCCAGTCGTGTGCTAAAGAGACAGAAGCAACTCTTATTTAAAAACATTTTACGCCGCCAGCTCGTGATAATTCAGCATTGGACTGGTTACTTTTAAATATGTCTACGAACTCCTGCAAGTAGCCGATTTTTGCGAATTTCAACGTTTATTTCAAAATATTTTGAACAAGACATGCATTAAAATGATTTGCCGAAGAATGGACCTTTCAAAGTTATTTCCTATAAATCTGGAAAGGAGGAAATATTTTTAAATTCCTCCAAACAGCAAAACACAGTGTTGGTCAAAATGAACGTCCTCAACAAAAGTCCGATACTGGTATTTCTATGGACAATAAAAATCCGTGAATGTTAACCTCTTCAAAAATCACATCAACAAAATATTCCGCTGACGAAGTTCAGTGCATATGATCTTTTTCCAAGATAATTTTGAAATGAATATGCAGCCTTTTGGCAAAATTGTTCACTTACTTTAACATAAACCATTCACTTCGACCGGAAATAAAAGAACGTACTTTGCTCTCTATATCGAAATATTTTCCGCCAAAGCTTATTATTTCCAGGCTCTCTTCTTAACCTGCGAACCAAAAATAGGGTGACCATATGTGGCAGTTTATGTAAAAATGATTAATCTCCTGTCTGCTCCGTTTCTAAATTACGCACATGCGGTAGCCGTTATGTAAAAACCTAAACATTAGCGATACTAAGTGACCAGTTTAGTTACGTCCTTCCCAAACGCGATATGGTTCAACAAAATGCACTCATGAGTCTTTTACTGCATTTTTAGTAAAAAAAACTTCTTAGTATAGCAAAATAATTTTTGAAAACAAACATTCTACCCTGTTTCTGAAAGCATATTTGAT